AAGATTGCCTCAGAAACAGCGTCAGCATGAATCTTCCAGTCAAGAGGAATTCGCCGTCGTCTTCTGGTGGAACCGACCTTCGAATCTCTTCACCCAACACTTCAACTCGAAATGGAAGTAAGCCCAACACTCACTCACAAGCGGTAACAAGACCCAGGACAACTGGATCATACTCTCGTTTATTTACACACACAAAAGTTGTGACCCCATCCGCTCCCCTGCCTGCATCAGTTTGACCCCCATACATGCATACAGGACAAGCATACGTGAGCCAAACAGATCATGCAATGCCAGATCATGAAGATGACAAAATAAGATACAGAATGTTAGTGGGATCTTGTTTTAGTGTTTGTTGGTGGTTCTTTCGTGAATAACCGTTTCTGGCTCTGGCGATGTCCGTGACATGACGGACGACAGCTCAACACGGAGTCATCGGGGTCGTAGGATGGTGAGCCGAGGTTTTCTTCACACTTTTTGACAGACAAAAGTCCAAGGCAACCCTCCAGCGGTATCCAATGAGGCCAAGCTACGACCCTATCAAACAGCTTTCTCAAACGAAATGAAAGTTGTGTAAGATTAAGGGATTCTTTGAAACCTGGCTTCTCTTTGATTTCTCATCTATTTCTGTATTTGTTCATCTGTATATCTAACTCTCCAGTTGTCCCATCCTAGAATGAAAGTTTCTCCTCCTACTCAGATACAGACAGACAATAAATGAAACAAATGCTGATTATCTTAAAATAATACACTACAGCTTTGCCCATTTATACAAATAAATCTACTTATGCAAGATATTCGAGATTTGAAGTTACAAGAAAGACAAATCTCTGAGACGGTCAGCTTACCCGATCAGTGATCTCATCTGGCGGCTGGATGGCCGGGTCAAGGGTGATAAAGAGCGACAGCAGAGTGGCGTTGGTCACTGCCCCGGGAACCGGGGTTGTCCTTAAAAGGTTGAAGAGGCCCGAGGTCGAAGCGTTAGGCAATTCGTAGCCGAGCAGAATAGGTGGTAGAGAGAGTCGTAACTTTCCCTCGATCTGAAAAGGTGTACATGGAAATGAGGTTACATTCTGCTAAGGTGTAACGTATCTGCTGAGCGGAGGTGTTGCTTGACCTAGTTTGTACAATTTGGTCTTATCAGCAGGAAGGCCTAGAGCAACGCACATTGTACAGAGTCTATAGTGTACATGATACTTTCAAGAGTCGGACCATGGACATGATACATTCGCAGACATTTCGCTGGCATTGTCAGTGAGCCTTGCCAATCTTCAAAAATTACGAGTAGTGAAAACTCACTGGCAAATCACTAAAAAGTGGTATATCTACTCTACATCTGGCCTCTTTGATCAAGTATAAAGTGATTTGGTTAGTTACTGTCATATGTCAACTTCGATGCCTGTGAGTGTGTCTGTCTCTGTATGCGTATGTGCCTGATTGTGTTTGCTTATGCACAAAACCCGAAGTAATGGCTCAAAGTAATTAGGACAGCAAAATGGAACATCTGTCTTTAACCAACAAGGTTTGATGACCACTATCTCTAAACTTTGCCTTTCCAAATGAGTAACATCATTCTATGGAGATACTGGTTGAGTTAATTAACTTAACGGACAAGCTGCCAGAAGAGGCTAAGAATAG